GAGAGGGAGGGTGGGAGAGAGAAAAAGAAAGTGAGTACTTACTATTTTCCCCTCATCAGTTGTCTTGTTCCAGAGCTCTCCAATCATTCGGCTGATATCTTTCTCACTTTTCTCAGGATGCATCTCCTTCAGCTTGGGCCTCCATTCACCGAAGAAGAAGTTGTAGCCAGTCTTGTTGGGCTTGGGCGCATTGGGATCTTTCTTTGGGATTTCATCTCTCTTTCTTCTCTTCCGTCTGTGCAGAGGCGTCTTCCCGCCAGCAGCACCGCCATTCATAGTGGGCATGCCGCTGCTCAACCCTATCCCAACAGACGATGGCACTGCTGTCGAGAGACTCTCATCGACAGGCACATGGTACAAGACCCCCTTCAGCTTCTCGGCTCCAACCATCACCGTCACCAAGTACCCAAATTCAAATTTCGCTTCAATTGCTCCAGTGACAGTGTGACCAATTACAGATGCCGGATCCACTGCAAATAACAACCACACCAACTTCAGGGCTCCCGTTCATCGTGTAGAAACTTAACGTAGTGCAGCGAGGAGGACCAACTAGGAGAAAAAAGGCAACACCCAGACTCCAACGCCCCCATTCATCATGTAAAATACACATTTTTTGTTTTATCGTGTAAAATATATAAGGAGTTCGGAGAGAAAGAGCAGCTAGGTCAAAAAAAAACACAGGTTTAATTACCAAACGGTTTGTACTACGTACAATAATTCACACATAGCACACCAGCGAAGGAATGTGAGGTGACGCAATTATGCCTCTTGGTTAACGGGCCCCTTGGCAAATGGCTATACATCACCAGCCAAGCATTTTGGTGCAAGAATAGGTTTGAAATAGTCAATTCCTTGTACTACTGTTTTAACCTTGTGGCACTGCCGGCCCTAACCTCCCCCGTCTGAACGGCTGATACTACCAAGCTTATTCAACAGGATTTCTTTCTGTACTTTCCTCAACACATGAGCGCCTAGGAAAATCAATTATTGTTTCTGGATTTTTTTTCATCTAAAGGAAAAGAGCAAAAATCAGAAGAGTGGAGAAGAGCAAAAGTCAGAAGAGTGGGGGCAGCAGCAATCCCGCAGGATAGGTCCAGCCGTTTGTGCAACAAATTAATTCAAGCCAGCATTGGCTGTTTCGTTGTTCATTGTGAAGAACAAGCCACGGTCTTCAAGAATAGCCTTACAGCCCTTATAAAGAATGCCCACCTCCCATTGTATCGAAGAAGAGCTGTTTTTTCTTTCAGTCTCTTATGGTGGGCATCAGCATCCAGCTCCATTATTTGCCTTAGGCAAAAAGTTGCCTTTTCAAGTCCAGTGGCAGGCTGACCTCACCGCCTGCTAAGCATTACAACGGCTGCCGGTTGTGTTGAACAACAGCTTTTTTTCACATCTGGTCTCGCACAAGTGGATGTCAGATAAGGGGGTCTACTGGCCCACAACAACCATCTGCCTTCCATTCGTCAGATGTACAAAAGGTTTGGCACACTCTCTGGAAGAAGAAACGTGGTGTGTACCTCTTAAGCCACCAGTACCTTTCCCAGCTATTTTTCAGAGGCGCGCCGGTTAACACGATGGCGTAAAACAGAAGGGCGACTGCTGATAAATGGAATCGGTGGCCTGTCTTGATTTTCGGCCCAGTGCCCGCGGCCAACAAAGGCACTGGTGGTTTAACCATGTCAAAATGACAAGATTGAACCCTAACTGCTCATTCATCCCGCACCAGAGATGAACTATACTATCCGCCATTCAGCTCTTCTCCCAAACGGAAAGAGGGAGACAGGGAGTGCCTCCGGCCAAAGCCAAAACGATAACAGATGACAATCCATGGAAACGAAGGACAACGACAAAAAGAAAAGAGGAAGGGCAGAAGAAGGACACTGACAACAGGAAGGGGACATATGGGCTAACCTGACGCATCTGTGGTGGCCGGCTTCCGTTTCCTTTGCCTTGATTTCACTTCCACTTCGGGCGGTGCAGCATACGTTATGCTATTTCCCGCCTCAGGGACCGGGCTCTTAGATGGAGCAGGAAGAGAAGCTGCCAACAGAGACACATGGACACCATCACAGAACATCCAGTTTCAGTAGCAAACCAATGCTCTACATGAATCCGTCAAACAAGCATCATTTCCCAGCGAATACATCGCGCTCAGATATATACCCCAAAACTTTCCACAGTAAAATTCCTTCAACCACCAGTACTTTGTCCAGCCATTCTTCTACAACACGGGTGTGCATGCCACACATCCCCAGATACACCGGCATGCCATTCCACTTGGTATTCTTCATTTCCCAAGTAAGAAAAGAGGCCGTCAAACAAGCATCATTTCCCAGTGAATACATCATGCTCAGAAGAATACCAAGTGAATACATCGCGCTCAAAAAAGCTGCATGCACGTCCTCTTCTCCTGCTTGGATGACGTTTTGTGGAAAATGCCAGGCAAGGACATTCCGTCAGATGCTGCAAGTGAACAGGATGCTGCAAGTGAACAGTACTCCTTAAGCCGCCAGTACCCCAGGGGGTCTTGTGCCCCTCTGGGGAGGCTCTGAGGCAAATGCACATGGACCTGCGCAGTGCACCGATTCCGCCACCGCGTCAATGGCGTAAAAACGTGGAGGTACATGGTGGTTTAATGGGAGGAGTGCTGGTGGTTTAACACCATTGCAGTTGATTGAACCAACTGATTTAAATTGTTATTTGATTATATGTTCCGGAACAGCAACAACTTCAACAATTATGAGACCGCCACCTTGATACATTCACATGTTCAATGACAGATTGGACTTCCGCACGGCTTGGACCATATTCACACCACTCACGACATTTAGAACTGTTTTCACATGAGGACGATTTCGATGGATCTGGGCGTGCAGTCCAGTACATCCAGGATACGTCGCGAGCCGAAGGAATGCTGTAGTGTGAGTGCGCTCTTACTCTCCCATTTCAACACAGCCTTAAAAAACACCCACAAACCTCCGTATCCAACACCAACCCAATTCTTTTGAAGGCTTGACCGGGTATCTCGCGTACTACGAGGACCAAACTTCCGAAAGCCGGTTCTCCTCATCCACAGCCAAAAACTTGATGTCTGGAAGCCCCCTCCTACAGTCCTCAAAACACACCCGCATTATCATGACGCACTCGCACCCTCATTATCGCTGCACCGGACCAGGAAGATACCTCGTATACATTCTTTATCAGGGTGCGCTGCGTTCACGGAAAGCGGCCGGCATCACTTGCAGACAAACAAAACGCTTCCACTACACCTTACTGAAATGTAATGGGAATAATCGGCAGGAAACCAACATATGTCCGTGTAGGATCCTCAGAGACTATTTGAGCGACTTCAAAAGATCAGATTGAACAGAAACATTGTGCATAATGGCTTGCTACTGCTCGCTACTGACTTTAGGTCACCCACCTGAGCCCTACAGGCCCAAGGTTCAACACCCGCAAGAAAGCAACTACAATCGAGTGCTGGCAATTGATCAGGCAAGAAGCTTCAGCACTTCCGTACCTTTTCCAGTCGGCAGCAGAATCTAGCTGTTATTAGTTCCCGCCTGCATTGGGCGAGAAGATTCACAAGGATACCAGGTGCTGTGGATGCCTTCATCACACAGAACGTCAAGCTCCGCCTGAGGTGTTTCTCAGATGTCTATGGGTTGCCATTCTGAGTTCCAAGGCACTATAAAGAACGGGACAAGCCCAGGGATCAGGCAAGAAGATTCAGGCCTTCCGAACCTTTTCCAGCAGGCAGTAGATGCTGCGTAGCTTCTGCCTGCATTGGGGAGACGATTTACAAGGTGGCTGGTGCTGAGAATGCCTTTATCACACAGACTAGTTTACCTGTTGCTGCTACGCCCGCAAAGAAAACAGAAAATTTTGCAAACGAAAGCCAAGAGTATGAGCGGTATTACATATGAATAAAGTATTCAATGTCCATCTGCTTAGCATTGGCTGTTCAATACGAAACATTCGGGCAGCCGTATTGCTACTCGTGCATCTTGGAGCATTCCCTGGAAGACTCCGGGCGATGACGAAACCGAGCAGCACATGTCCGAAACAAATCGTGGACAGATATGCGTGTGCGTGTTGTGGGCGGGTGGGCGTACTTGGGTGCATGCGTGTTTGCGTGTGTGAGAGCAAACTCCAAGAAGCGTCAAAGTCCAAGGAAGTTGAGCATCGAGCCCGCCCAAAGAAAAAACATGTTGCGCGCACCTTCCCCACCCCCTCTATTTACCCAAAAAAAAGAAAAAGAGAGAGAGAGTGTAGTGAAGTTGAGCGTAGCAGCGTAAAGTACATCGATCGCAGAGAGTCGTAGGAAGGCCGAGCGCAGAGTAGCCCATCTGCACCCACCTTCCCCCTCCTCTGTCGCTTTTCTCCCCATCCAGAGTAGCCCATCTGCACCCACCTTCCCCCTCCTCTGTCGCTCCTCTGTCGCTCTTCTCCCCATCCACCTTTCCCACCTTCTGTACCCACCCTCATAGGCTGCGCCTGTCCTCCTTCACGCCGACCCTATTCCCCCACTGCCCAATCATCCTCCGCCACTGACGTGTGTGTTTGTGCGCACAGAGAAAAAAACAACAAAAAGAGGGAAACGACGCAATTTGTTATGGGCACACACACACCCCACAGCGTCGACCATACCTCCCCCCTGCGCCCACTTCCCCCCCCTCTGCTCCCTCCTTTCAACCCCTCTGCGCCCACCTTCCCTACCCTCCGAGTCCATCTTCCCTCCCCTCTGCGCCCACCATTCCCACCTTCTGCGCCCACCCTCATAGACTGCACCTATCTGCTCGGAGTGGTAAAATACTACATGGCGGCAGATCACCTATCGTATTGGGGACAGACGACTAAACAACATCTCGAAGCGCTGCAGCCTGTAGGTGATATCGGCGAGATCCAATCAAATGATTTTTTTACTGGAAGTCAGAGGACCTGTAGTACCTGCCTAACTTGAAACAGAGTAACTAACTCTTACTCGAATGAAATGAATACTATTGATTGAGGCAAAGTGGCGCAGTCTGTAACACATAAATGCATCACTAGTCCCTCAAAATCATTCGAGCAAGCTCACAGGTCTCGCAAAACGATTGCAGCGAAGAATTGACTTTCAACGTAACACTTCGTTGACGGGCAAGGTAGAAAGAATCGAACATGATCCAAATTGTTCCTCTTGGATTGCCTTAGTACGCTGGTACTTTGGATCTACCCAACCCCACCATCAAACAGCATCTACAAGATTTTTCCCCTGCCGCCCCAATCATCGTCCCCCCCCTGACGTTGTGGATTCTACTCGTCCATTGGAGCTCTCTCTCTCTCTCTCTCTCTCTCTCTCTCTCACACACACACACACACACAGTCATGCACAACAGAGAAGTTGAGCGTAGTAGAGTAGAATTGTGAAGTCAAAGCCGAGCGTATTAGCCCGTAGCATAGAGTAGCGTCAAAAGTATTGTAGCTCTCTCTCTCTCTCACACACACACACACACAACACTGGCGCGGTCTTCCGAAAGCATCGACACAATGCACAGCGGCCACAGCCCAATCCTCAGTGTTCAACCTTCAGGGTGCACATACCAACCTCCAGCGGGTAATAGAACTTTGCAACAGAGCCCAACCTCCAGCATGTGAAAAAGGTTAGCAACAACAATGTGCATGTGGTGTGGGCGGGTGGGTGGGTGGGTGGGTGTGTACGTGGTTGCATGTGTCTCTGTGTGTCTGTGTAGAGCAAAGTCAAAGCAGCGCTGAAGTCAAGTGATGTTGAGCATCGAGCACCCCCTCCCCCCCCACAAAAAGTCAAGCACGCTTTCCCCACCCCCTCTATTGACAAAAAAAAGACAGAAAAAGAGAGAGAGAGAGACAGAGAAGCAGAGTTGAGCGTAGCAGTGTAGAGTAGTGTATAGTACGTCGATCGTAGAGAGTCAAAGTCGTAATGCCGAGCGTAGAGTAGCACCGAAGTCGAATGTAGCCAGCGTCCAACAGGGTTGGGGGTGGGGTGGGGGGAGAGAGAGAGAGGGAGTAGCAGAGTTAAGCGTTGTACCGTCGAGCGCAGTAGTGTAGTCGAGCGTAGAGTGGCGTTCAAGTCCATTGTAGCCGAGTAGGAACAACAGGGTACAGTAGTATCGAGTGTCGAAGTGGGAGTGTAGCCAGTTAGTCAGGGGCACCGTTTCTTTCCAGCGCTGCCTCACCAAAAAATGTTAGAGAGTCAAAGTCGTAATGCCGAGCGTAGAGTAGCACCGAAGTCGAATGTAGCCAGCGTCCAACAGGGTTGGGGGGTGGGGTGGGGGGAGAGAGAGAGAGAGAGAGAGAGAGTAGCAGAGTTAAGCGTCGTACCGTCGAGCGCAGTAGTGTAGTCGAACGTAGAGTAGCGTCCAAGTCCATTGTAGCCGAGTAGGAACAACAGGGTACAGTCGTATCGAGTGTCGAAGTGGGAGTGTAGCCAGTTAGTCAGGGGCACCGTTTCTTTCCAGTGCTGCCTCACCAAAAAATGTTAATTACATCACTACAAAGTTAATTACATGACTGCCGTGCGCGTGTGACGAATGCGGAGTGCCGTGTGCAGCATTACCGGTCCAGTGTGATTTCGCTACAGGCCTAGCAGTCATCTGTGTGCGGCACTGCCCAGTGTGATTTCACTACCGGCCTAGTGATTGTCTCCAAACGATCGACACATAATCTGGACCGTGCGGTATAACGCCAACAACGGTCCAGATTGCAAGTTGATGACATCAAAAACGATCAGCAGCCAATCTGCACCACCGCCCACCAAGGAAACCAAGGGCCCAGATCGCAAGTTGATGACATCGAAAACGATCAGCAGCCAATC